ATTAACAATAAATCATATCCACTAAGCATGGCATACTGACTAGCATGAACATCACCAGTACATCAACATGTACTACTAGCAAGCATAAATATATGAAAGGAAATACTAGCAGGTAGAACATGATAACAGAGTACAAAACAACATAGCACAAAAGTGAGCATGCAAATCTAAACATTACCGGAACAACGATAACCATCTTTTCAACAAGCAAACATTTAATGAAGATTCAAGTTGAAAACCATGGCTACTGCATGACTATCATGCAAGTGGGTATTGTGGCTTGCCTGGGGTGGAAGAAATCACCAGGGAGAAGTGCAGTGAAGCCGCAGAAAGATTTGCCGGAAACAGTTCTCTCTCGGAGGGGCTGTTTACGTGCAAGGGCAAAAAGGTCATTTTCACAGTGTCAAACCATAGTGAAAATGAAACCAATAGAACGGGCCCGACAAAACGAAGAAGTGAGCTTTGGAATCACCTCATTTGGAGTTACGGATAAAAAGATATGGAGTGTTTTCTGCCAGGGACCTATCTGCAATGAAAAGATTTTCAAACAGGGGCCTGGACAGAAAAACAGAACGCGTAATAGGGAAATATGCTTTCGGAAAGCAAAGACGTAATCAGAGGATTACGCCTCCACTTATCCACGTCAGCGTACCTGGGTCAACACGGGCCCGGCGGCTGGGTCGCTTACAGGCGGGGCCCACCGCATCTTCTCTCTCCTCCTGGCCTCCTTCTTCTTCCTCGCGCCTGGACGCATCAGGCCGAGCAGGGGAGCTCACCCCGACGAGGCTCGTCGGTGATCCCGGCCACCATACGGGGCGCGCGACCTACCGACGAGCTTAGCAGGACGAGGCGGATCCATTCAGCAAGGACACGGACGCCGAGGAGGAACGGAGCGACTAGGCCGTGGACTCCGGCGGAGATGGCCTCGGGTGAGGTTGGGCTATGGGGCTGCGGGGTACTCCGGCGAGGGGCAAGTAGGTGCGGAGGGTCAGGAGGTCGAGGGGACTCCTCCGGTGGCTACAGAAAGGAGGGGGAGGGTCGGCATCGAGCCAATTTAGGCCGAGGCCGACGGCGGGCACGGCGGCCAGGGGAGTCGAGGAGAGCTGCTCGAGCTCAATGGAGGGGCTGGGAAGGAGTATAGGAGCGAGACGAAGAGCTTGGGGCGATCGGGAGGCCTTAGGGCTGCTTAAATAGCCAAGGGGGAGAGGGAGCCACGCTGGCGTCGCCGTGGACGCGTGGCCGGTGCCACGAACGCGTGTGCTCACGCATGGGCTCGGGGGAAGGCGACGGCGAGGCACAGGGAGGAGCTCACGGGGTAGAAGGGGTCAAGGGACGCAGGGAGGAAGACGACGACAACGAACGGATCCAAAACTCCACTGTACATCCGTGGGCGCGCGGCGGTTTGCGTCGGTGAGGAAGCTGCCGGAGGGGGAGAGGGGTCCATCGGAGCGACGACGACGAGATGCATCCACTAGACATGCTCACGGGCTCTAAGACGACGAGTAGGAGCGGTGCCAAAGCACAAAAAGTGCTCTGGACACGCCACAGTGCATAGAGCGCGCGCACAGGCATGCCAGCTGCGCGGTCACCACACGACATGGCACATTAAACGCTCTACAGCACCCAAAACGTTGTCTAGCTGATAGTCCTTCCAAGATAGAGCATTAATGGGTCATTGGCTTGATCTAAGGCACTGTGGTTGCGTTGGAATGGAGCTCTGAAGTTTACTGCAGCAAACTTAGCCATGCATTGGTGATCAACATGGAATTGCTTGAAGCCAAATAAGTTGTCTGGGGTGTTTAGCTATGGAGGACTATGATCCTGGAGGTTTTGAGGGGAAATGGACCAAGTTTTACTGCAGTTGCTTCACAACTGACCAAAATGGTCCAGAAACTAGATCATGATGGTGCACTCAAATGGAGTGTCAACTTGAGCTAAAATTGGGCAAGGCTTAGTCATTTGGTCATATGAAGATGCTCACCAAGTATCATACCATTTTGCAAAGCCAAAATGGTACTTGCTTCACAAACATCTCTGCTGACCAGAAACTTGAAATAATATTGGTGATCCAATGGATCAATGAAATGATGCCAAATTGTGTGGAGAGATGTTTTATGGGTATAAGAATAATATGGTAATTTATCAGGATTTTTGAAGCAATATAAAATATACTTGCTTCACAACCTGAAAATATTGCCAGAAACAAAGATTTGCTCCTGTGCTCACATAGATGATTGGATGAATCTGAAAATGGGTGGAGGGGTTTAATATGAGAACATTAAGGAGTGTGCAAAAGTTCAACTCATTTGGGTACTCCTAGCTAGTACTTCCTTCACAAAGCTTTCTGTTTGACAGAAACTTTGAAAAATCACCGAGGAAGATTGGCTAGGCAAATAAAGTTGAACTTGTGCATGAGGCAATTATTTGGACATATAAACATTCCAAAAAAGGTTGGGAGCCACTAGGAAAAATATATATGACACTTTCTTCACAAAGTGCCATTTAGGGAAGAAACGAAGAATAATTATTGGGGAATTATTTTTGAACATGGCAATGAAAAGTTTTGCCATATTTGTTCAAGATATGACCCAAATAATTTATGAGAATTATTTGGGAATTTTTGGAGTGAGGGAAATATAGGTTGCTTCACAACCTAAGGAAATTTGAGTTATTCCTTCAATAGAAAAGGAATATTCCCATAAAAAGAATATTGGGATTTGGACTAGGATGAAAATGACAGGGTCTAGGGAAAGATTTGGGAATGACAAGCCACTCTGGAAGCAAAGAAGAGGGCATCTTCTTCAGTTTCCAGACCACAAAGCCACGAAAAAGAAAAACTCAGGGCAAAAACCTCGCAAAAACAAAAGAAAAAAGAAAGGGCCAAAAATCAGGCTGTCACAGTATTCCTTCCAGGCAAAAAACCATTCCCCTGATTACCCAGTGTATCTATCCTCCGTGGGGTACATTCATTAAGAATGAACTAGAAAGGAGGAGCTTGCCCTTTAAGGGGTGGTTAGAAATAGTTGGTTAGAAAAGTACTCTCTCCGTCCCATAATGTAAGACATTTATTGGCTCTAGTATAGTGTCAAAAAATGTCTTACATTATGAGGCAGAGGGAGTATCACTTTACCCAAAGACAATAAGAAACTAGAAAGGATGTGGAGGGGTCATTTCGAGTTCTCCAGGCCGTCTTGCAGTTATTTATGGACCTACTAAATAATGGGACCAATATCTTGTGGTAGGTGATGACATGTTGTATGATCATGCACAACATGATCATTGAGGATGAGGGTGAAGATGCTATGTAGGTCTGGAATTAGAGAGCTTCCATATCAGAATCCGACCACGTTTGATGAGTTTGTTCAAATGCATTAACAAATTTGGCATCGAACAACTCAAGTAAGATTTGATTGAGTATCTGTGGGCGGTTAAAGGGATAACTAGAATATATATGTGCTAGCTTTTTTTTGTGAGGGAACGTATGTGCTAGTTGAATTCAAGCTTGAAGTAATTTAATTTGAAAACTTAGTTGGATTGTACTATTACCTCCGTCCCAAATTCTAGATGGAGGGAATATTTTTAAATTAGAACTATTGTTACATTTGAATATTTTCAATCATCTAAATTTGATATGCTATTATTTTGAGCTTGCAAATTAAAGAAATAGGCGGAAATTCTAGAGAACAGGGTTGGACGTCCGGCTCTCACATTATTGTCCGCAGACTGGTCCAGACCAGCCCACAAATGGATAGCGTGTCCATTTTGAGATTTAGCATTGGAGATGCCCTAAGACTGTCTATAGTGGGAATAAGTTCAGCAGTAACATGGGGTCCAACTCAACAAATTTACTTATATGGTAATGATTTCACGAGGAAAGAGATGAATTGAGTAACATAGCTAGTTACTCCTACCATGATCAACATCACATATTTCAAGACAAAATGAGTCTATAATCTACTCCCTCCGTTCTATAATGTAACACATTTTCTGACCCTACAATAAAGTCAAAAAACGTCTTACATTATGGGACGAAGGGAGTAATAAATAAAGTGTTATACTATGACACTGCACATATTTACTCCCCCACCTTAGATATTATAACATAGACTAGTACTCCCTCCGTCCGAAAATATTTGTCCTCAAAATGGATAAAAAGAGATGTATTTAGAACCCTCCGTTCCAAAATAGATGACTCACCTTCATACTAACTTTAGTATAAAGTTGGGTCATCTATTTTGAAACGGAGGGAGTAATATATACATCTAGATACATTTCTTTTTATTTATTTTGATGACAAATATTTCCGGACGAAGGGAGTACCATGCCACTGTGAGTAGTCTAAGTCTAAGACTATTTTATTACTCCCACGTTTTTCATAGATTGAGACACGTCAACTAAACTTACCCCAAATGCACCCGTTTACTTTGGCCTCTTTTGTCCTACACGCAACAAGCAATCAGTGAATTCGATGCGATGCGATGCGATGCGATGCGCACATGCCGACATGCTGTCCAGGTACATCGCCGCGCCCCGCTATCCCGTCCGGTTACATCAACGGGCGGTCGACCGCAGAGAATAACCATCGCTTGAGTAGGACCGTCCGATCGTCCCTCCCGAATCCGGTCGTCGATACCGCGGAGAAGCGTACAGCCACTCCCCGCTTGCTCCCCACATCCTCGTCGGCTCGTCGCGCGTCCCCCACCGGCCTCCGCCTCCGCTTCGGCTCCTCCTGCTCCTCTCCCGCCGGACTCCGGCAGCGGCGCCTTCCCCGATCCAGCTTCCAGCCTCAGCTGCCCAGCCATTTCCACCGTGTGTCGCGCAACCGTGGTCTCCTACCTGCCACCTCCGCAGCTGTGGCCACTGACCGATGGTCGCCTGATTTGCCCCGCGCAGCGGTGAGCTATTCAGCTCAAAATCGCTACCATTGACTCCCTTGTGTCCATGTCTCCATGATTGTTCTGAAGGACCAACTGATCAATTGTTAGGAATCCTCGAATCCAATGGAGAAGTCGTCGTTCGCGTCGGCGAGCTCCGGCGAGCTCACCGCCGCCGTTTACGGAGCAGGGAGGCCGGTGAGGGTGATACCTCTGCGCCACCCACTGGATGCGGCTGTGCGGGAGGCGGCCGCCTCCTCCTCCCCGTCACCGTTGTCGGCGGCGATGGAGAGGGCGCGGGCGATGGGGCCGTGGGAGTGGGCGGAGGCGGCTCTCCCGTGCTTGGCGTGGATGCGGAGCTACAGATGGAAGGAGGACTTCCAGGCCGACCTCGCCGCCGGCATCACTGTCGGCGTCATGCTTGTGCCTCAGGTACCCTGTTACCCTGACCATTTGTAGTAGTAGATCTGTGTTTCTTTGACAGTATCTGCTATTATTCAGAAAATGCTTCAGTAACCGAGTCAGTTGAGATTATATTACTTAAAAAATCCATTGGCCCTGATCGAGCTTATTAATGTATTGGTTGTTCGAGTTCATAAAAAAAATACCTACTGGTTGCTCTCTTGCTTGCCTTGAAATAGGCTTGGTGACAGTTCATGCAAAAACTATTGTACATTTTTTTCTTACTAAAATGTTATTCTGTTGAAGCTTGGTCACTGTTAATTGTGAATACAGCTTAACTGAGCACAAGGTAGTGTTACTATAAGCAATTTGTGGATTTCATATATGAGTTGTTTGCAAACAACACTGTTACTAATTGGAGCCGTGCTTTTATGCAAGGTTTTGAAGTTGTATTATTCCGACTACGGAATTGTAGTCTGTAATGCTTACAGTAAGATGGGGAGGTTAACCACTATGGAGCTTACTTAAATTGCTACTGTAGTTGCTCACACCCATTGTGTTAGCACATTACAGAGTTTCAGTTTGTGTAACTTGGTTGGTATGGCTAGTCCCCTACGCCCATTGTTAGCACATTGCAGAACTATATTAGGAGCAATTCGGGTGATTTACCTGCTAGCGAAAACAGTATTTTCATGTCCTCTTTCCCGTGCGATCCTTCATGTAAGTTTGGCTTGTTAAGTTTCCGGTGTACCAGGGAAAAAGTGCTATATTTTGATTTGATGTGTTGTCTACAAATTTTGTTTATATTTGGCAATTATCTGTATATTTTGTTTGAACCGTTTATTGTTAAAAACAATTGGTGGTATGTTGCAGAGATTTCTAGATTAGCTGAACCTACTGGTTCTCCGTACTAACTTGTATAGAACAAGTGAGCACGTTATCTCAACTTATTCACATAGCTTGTTGTTTTCCCTAGTTTCTTACAAATTAGTAACAAAAATCCTGTTGACGTGTGAACTGTTTTCGAGTTCTTACCCTCCGTCTGCTTTGCTTCTTTGTCTTAAACTAGAGCATAATCAACTTTGTGCTGTGTTGTAGGCAATGTCATATGCAAAGCTGGCTGGGCTTCACCCAATTTATGGGCTCTGTAAGTGTTTACGTCTAACAGTGCCTCTCTGTTTTTCCTTTTTTCCTTTCAAATGAGCGGCTAGTTAATCCAAATCATCTCTTTTTATTTGCATTGTGCTGAACAGACACAGGCTTTGTCCCACTATTTGTCTACGCGATTTTTGGGTCCTCACGACAATTAGCAGTAGGTCCAGTGGCACTTGTCTCTCTGCTAGTGTCCAATGTTCTTGGGGGTATAGTTAATTCATCTAGTGAGCTGTACACGGAATTAGCCATATTATTGGCATTCATGGTTGGAATACTGGAATGCTTGATGGCATTGCTAAGGTAATTCTGTTTACGAGGCAAGTTGGCGGTCCTGTTTATCCATTTTGGAGAAATTGAAATATTGAAGCATTAAATGTCCTCCTCCTTTAGAGAAGAAAATATGCAAACATGTATACAGATTTTTCGTTATACTCTTTCTTATTGTATTAGCAACATAACGATGCGCATAGCTCAAATGTTAACCTGCTAGCTGCATTATCTTTGTCTTCTGATACTATATCTTTGGCAGTGTTTTTTACCCAAGCGCTAAGTCTATGTTTGGATGGTGGTGAAAGTTTACCCTACCAATTTTTGGTCATGGCCAAGTTTTGGTGTTTGTTTCGATGGTTGCCAATGTCCCTTTGCTGACTAGTTTATTTTTCTTGCCAATGTTGACCAGCTCATGGGCAAGCAAAAGCTTGGCCAAAATTTTAGCATGGCAATTTTGGGCTAAAAGCGAACACACCCTAGGTGTATATCCTTTTTTCTTTTCTTTTTGGCACAAGTGCACCTGAAGTCATGTGATTTTGCGAAAAGGGACATATCAATCCCTGTACTTACAAAAGCAAGCAAGCAACATTTTAGTGCTTACACTAATGTCAGTACACAGTATAAAAATAGACAAGTGCTGCATCATGGACTATTCACATGTGTGCTTGCTTTTACTAGTTTTATGGAAAAGCAGACAATCGGACCTCAGAGTTTGCATATTATATGCACTATATCCATGAACTTGTTTTGAATCTTTTTGGGATAGTGCATGGATTGCATCAGGTTCCCACTTCTTTTCTTACGGAAGTATCCAACCAGTGATCTAAGTGTGTATTCTTCTAGTTCTGTACAGAGGCATAAGTCATTTCAATAGAAAGGGAACACATCCTGGTTTTGGTAGAAGAAACCAAAATTGCTCATTGTGTACGATGGCCACTTAAGTCCTACTTTTATCAGTTGGTTGACTACAATGCTCCTTTTCTCAAACTAGATGGACTAGCTGCATGTTTGTCTATCTCTTCAGGCTTAACTGTGATTCTGGGGAGATCTCATTGAGGCTGTGTAACCTGTTCATTGTTTTTCTTCTTTACAGACTTGGCTGGCTTATTCGTTTCATTAGCCATTCTGTAATATCTGGATTCACTACAGCTTCGGCCATCGTAATTGGTTTGTCCCAAATCAAGTATTTCTTGGGTTACAGTGTTACAAGAAGTAGCAAGATTATACCACTTATTGAGAGTATAATTGCTGGAATAGATCAGGTGGAATTTCTTTGTCCGTGTAAACTTATTTGTTACCTCCTTGTCAATTTCTATCTTTTGCCTGCCTTCTTTTAGATGCACACTGCTTAGACAAAGCATGTTACATTGGCTGGTGCTATACGCACATGGCTAGATAATCGTTTGATAAACTGAGTGTTCATGTGTGAGCATCACTTAGTTAGATAATGTTGATGGTGAAACGAAGATAGGCACACAATTTTATTTGCTTGTGATCGTACAACTTTGGCATAATATTTGCGTCTTGTTCTGTAAAGTATGTAACTTTCCTCCTGCCTGATCACATCAAAACTTGGATCTGCTTCTGTATGTAACACTATATCTAAGGATATCTGCTGCTATGTTGACAGTAAATTGGGTCACAGATGAAATCATGTACTCCCTCTGTAATCAAATATAAGAGTGATCTAAACATTCTTATATTTCTTTACGGAGGGATTGTTTTCTTATGTTTCACTATTCTTGCTTGACTTATCTTCCTATTAAACCTCTAATTACCAACTTAATAATGGAAACCAGATTCTTTGAACATTTAAAATAAGATCGCTTTCTTTTTTGCTTGAACAGTCATTAAGTTTCAAGTTCTGCCTCATACAGATTAGGCTCCATAAATCAACCTCCATTAGGCACACTGCATACATTAAGGCTGCTTTTATTTTTCTTTCAGATAATGATTTTCTGGTATTGTATGTTTACATCGTCACTACATTAATAAAGCAGTGCCGCTTTGCAGTTCTCCTGGCCTCCATTTGTAATGGGATCAGCGTTTCTTGTTATTCTTCTAATAATGAAAAAGCTAGTAAGTTTGTATTTCTATATTTGATCAAATTTCTTCGGTTGCAAAATGTTACCTAGGTTTATCGTTTTTATGACCTCTTAAATTCTTGCAGGGGAAAACGAATAAAAAATTACGTTTCCTGAGAGCTTCTGGTCCACTAACAGCTGTTGTTCTTGGAACATTGTTTGTGAAAATTTTCCGTCCAACTGCCATATCAGTGGTGAGTAAGCTCCATCTATTGTTTTGTCATGAATTATATGATGTTATGCAATACAGTAAAATAGCTGTGAAACCTGTACCTTGGTTTGCATTTTTTTTTCATTTGACATTTGTTTTGATGACTCATATGTGTTCTTTGAGGTTTTGGAGAGCTTTTGTGTGCATGTGTGTATCATTAAATGTTATGATTATAGATGACTCTTCAGATATTTTTGTAATAAGGTTTTCTGTGAAAATCCATGAAAATACTATATCAGTTGTGATATTTTATGGGTATTTGTTTTTCATTTTGTAACTCAAATGTGCACCTACGATAAATGTTTTTATTCATCCATTTAAAAGTTCTCAATGAGTCACTGGTGACAGACCGCCACAATCAACCCTTATGTTGATTACCTGATTGTCACTTTGGCAAATCACACATTTAGTAGATATTTTTATTTTATCAAGTGAAATTTACTTGCATAACACATTATGCTAGAAAACTACATCGTTATCCTCTGTTTCTTGAGTGCCCAGGTAGGTGAAATACCGCAAGGCCTTCCCAGTTTCTCCATTCCTCGAGGATTTGAACATCTGATGTCCCTAATGCCAACTGCAATACTTATCACTGGTGTTGCTATTTTGGTAAAACATGTTGCTATCTTGTTTTTTTTTACTTCCGTTAGTGGCCATTAAACATATGTAGTATATAATTTTAGGAGTCTGTTGGGATTGCTAAAGCGTTAGCTGCGAAGAATGGTTATGAGTTGGACTCAAACAAAGAGGTATGCTTCCATAAACCAATGACTAATAATTTGTTTTTGTTGGTACAAGCTGCTCACATTTGTTCATCAAATGCAGTCCTATTTGTGTTGTTATCTTGTGTAATTAATAATGGCTTCTATGCACAACATTTCTGTACACGTAATATATTTGCTCCTAGAAACTAGTTAGTGATAATATTTCATTCTGTAAGATTGTGAATATTGCGTAATGGATGGTGTATTGAGCCTCAAGGGCAAGTATAAACAGAGATGTGAGACTTGGAGGGCCTAGAGATCGGCAACACGAGATAGCAAATCATATCCTACCAATTATAGTGATATTGTAATAATATAAGATGTTCACCTTGGGGTCACACCAACCATCTGATCTGTTGCCACCTCTAAACTGTGATGATGGGATTGTGCACCACCAGACCACCTACCAAACACTGTTTTGCCAAAAAAGAAACTCTTAACATGAATTTTGTGCAGATACACAGAGCAGCACCTCAATTCAATGAAGCAAATAATCTTGTCCTTGCTAGTAGTAGACTGTAAATCTTTCGATGCATAACTAAAGCCTTTAAGTTATATTTTTTTTAAGCTCCTACTTATCATAAATTTTTAGTGATGACATCATTTGAGAAGAAATGAACAAGATGATTTAGGTCCCTTCCTAGTTTCTATTCCAGTTATCTTGCACTTTCAAATCGGGATTTTTTCTCTCTCAAAAACACAGGAGAGGTGCGCTTCATTTCATTTAGAGAGAAAAAAGTACAAAAAAAGGAAGGGGCAAAAAACACCCCCCCCCCCTTGATAATGTTCCATCAAAGCATGAATGATACTGTTCCATCAAAGCATGTTGTGTAAAACCGAGGTGATCGAGATGCCTGTTCTAGGTGGTCATACTAGGAGTTTTAATTAGTGATTATTGTTTCCAGAGGACGGATGCCTCAGTCAGTTATTAAACAACTTTGAAGTGATGTGGGAATGATACACCACGGTTTGATTTTTCATGACAAGCTTAATTGTACAATTTCTACCTAACAAATCTAAATAGTTTTCTATAAATTAGTTGTCAAATATGGTAAAGTTTGACTGCATATTTTTCTAGGACCTCATCTATCCTGGAATGTACTCCCTCCGTCCGGTGAAGAGTGTACATTTGGCTTTAAAATTTGTCCATAAAAGAGTGTACTTCTATCTTCCTAATGCACTTTAAAGTAGGGAAAAAATGTTTATCTCTCATCACACGGTAATCAAGACCAATAACATTCTACACATGGTCTCCTTAATTTCTACACCCACTTAGCTCATTGGGGATTGGGTAATTAAAGAGGAGAGAGATGGTGGCTTGCATCTTTCCAATGCATTTTTTACTCCACTTCATAATTTGTCCTAAAATTTCTATATGTACACTTTTCACCGGACGGAGGGAATATGTAGTAGCAGTTTAGCATCGTTGCAGAAACTTTTTGTTTACAGGAATATACAAAACAATTTATGCATCGCATGTAGCAGTTTTCATTGTTTATAACTATTACTCTCATTGTTAAAAATCAACTCTTCTGATGAAGTTTTCCTTCATTACAGTTATTTGGCCTTGGCTTATCAAATATATGCGGTTCATTCTTCTCTGCATATCCTGCTACAGGTAGAATATTAATCATAATGGATAATATCAGTGCTACTTCATTTATCTGCATTTCTACTCTATTCTTTACCTGAAAATCATGAAGCTTAGTTACTCGCTAGGCTTTAGAAAGCTGATGATTATCAATGGATGTCCATGCAGGCTCCTTTTCTAGGTCTGCTGTGAATCATGAAAGTGGGGCAAAGACTGGATTATCAGGAATCATAATGGGCATAATAATTTGCAGTGCTCTCTTGTTTATGACACCATTATTTACTGATATACCTCAGGCAAGATTACCAGTGTGTTGTTCCTTTGGTAGCACTCCTTGAGTTTTTTTTTTTTTTGGCATCATAAAACTCACTAAGTAACTATTGTTGGATTGGTCAATGGAGTTCTCCATCTGGGCACCTTCTTTGCATATTGCTGTTCTGTATGCCTTTTTTCCGTTGAGGATATTCATCAGTATAGATTAAATGTGATGCATAATTTCACTATATCTTCAGACCCTTGCTAACTGTATCTTGTAGAACCTATTTAATGCTAAAATTTCCTGCTGGAATCAAACTGTTATTTTAAATTTAGGCAAAATTAAGCTTTCGCAATACAAGCCTTATATCGGTGGTGTATATTTATTTCACAATTTGAGTTCCAAGTGTGAGTTTCCTCGCAAAAACAAGAGGTCATGTTTGAGTTTAACATTTGCATTTTTTGTTTTTTAAACTATTAATGATATGAACAATATAGATTAGATATGATCCATCATATCACTAATCACTATACCTAAAGGCCCTTTATTAGTATAGCTTTTAGAACCTATTTGGAATGCTCATATTTTCCAAAATTTCCTGCTCGAAATGAACTGTTCTTGTAAAATTTTGGTAGAATTAAGCATGCAACATAAGCCTTGTATCTGTGGTGTATATTATTTCACAGTTTTACTTTTCTTGCAAAAAAGAAGAGATCAAGTTTGAGACATTTGCAGATTTACTAGATCAAATTTATATACATCGGGTGTATAAAAAGGTAACAAACAAATATTTGCAATTTATCATGTTTAAGTTGGAACTCTTAAGAGTTAAGAGTCAAATTAATTGCACAATCTTGTTTCTTAAAATGTACCACTATGCAGAAATAGAACTTGTTAAGGTCCACTTTTTTAAAATGGACTAACAAAGTTTATTGGCAAACATGTCTTGAATTTTTTTCCAAATAAAATGTATACCTGTGTCATAGTATACCTGTGCTTAACGAGATCTAAGTGCTACTCCCTCCGTCCGAAAATACTTGTCATCAAAAAGAATAAAAAGGGATGTATCTAGATGTATTTTAGTTCTAGATACATCTCTTTTCATCCATTTTGATAAGTATTTTCGGACGGAGGGAGTATATGCTTACTTACGTTTTCATCTCATTTTTCCCAGTGTGCATTGGCTGCCATTGTGATTTCTGCTGTCACTGGCCTGGTAAGGACATCTAAATACTCATATTTGTACATACTGTCACCACTGTTTTTAATTATTTGTACTACATTGTCAGCAGGCAATCATTAATTGCCTGCTGTGCTGGCAATGTAGTACCTTTTCCCAATAAATAAAACTATGTTTATTTCTTCCCAAATTACAGCTTACTATTTCTGCTCTAGTTTGCCATCTCAGTTCTTTATTGATCTCTCTTTCTTCTAACGATCCACTTTTGTATTGATTTAAATCATTTCGAACCTAATTTCTCATAGATATTGGGACTGTATTTAGGTAGATTATGAAGAGGCCATCTTCCTGTGGGGTATTGATAAGAAGGATTTCTTTCTGTGGGCGATGACATTTACTACAACCTTAACTTTTGGCATTGAGATTGGTGTCCTTGTTGGGGTAAGTACATGGAAATTTTTCAGATTTAGTATGCAGAAGAATCATTTATTTGATGATAGTACTTTCCTTTGTAGGTTGGGTTTTCGCTGGCATTTGTGATCCATGAATCTGCAAATCCGCATATAGGTGAGTAATTGTACTACACTAGACATGATGAGCACTTACAATTTGCTTGATAACACATCATTATTTCTCGAAGTCAGCAACCACCCTTGTGTCTCACCGTGCTCTTCTATTGGACCTTTGATCTATCACTGAAGAGTTTGGATGATCTTTGCCATTGTTTTCCGATTGTTGTTATGTCAAGGGTTTTTATTGCTTGGTTTGAGAGTCTGATCTGTAGTATATATTTAATATGTTTTATGGCCCATCTGCAGCTGTTTTGGGCCGTTTGCCTGGCACCACTGTGTACAGGAATACATTGCAGTACCCTGAGGCTTATACATACAACGGGATTGTTGTTGTCCGTGTTGATGCACCAATCTACTTTGCTAACATAAGTTACATAAAGGACAGGTCAATCTCTTCATCTGTTTAAGCGCTTTGTTTCATTAAGATTCTTTGCTAGTCTGATGTCAGTTTAACCAAAATTCTATCAGGTTGCGTGAGTATGAGCTCAAACTCCCAAATTCAAACCGTGGACCTGATGTTGGAAGGGTGTACTTTGTGATCCTCGAGATGTCCCGTAAGCCCTTTTTTTTCTGTTGCAATGTTTATATGGTGCAGACAACACTGCTGCCCGCAACTAATTATTTCATTTTCGTTTGAAAAAGAATCTCAATTGTACCTATCAGACTACCTTCATGAGTGGATTAAATGATGGGATTTGTTTGGCATGCAGCTGTTACATACATCGACTCGAGCGCTGTTCAAGCTCTCAAGGACCTGCATCAAGAATACAAAACACGCGACATCCAGGTTCTTACTCTCAGCAGTTCTTCTATTCGCTGGTTCAGTACTCCATGATTTTTTTCAGTAAAGATGCCTGTGTGGAGCTAGCATTTCAAACCCTTGGAGGCTTTTTGATTGATTGCAGATTGCTATAGCGAATCCTAACCGGCAGGTGCACCTATTGCTGTCAAGAGCGGGCATCATCGACATGATTGGCGCAGGGTGGTGTTTCGTCCGAGTGCACGACGCGGTGCAAGTATGCCTCCAGCATGTGCAGAGTTCATCGTCGAATGCCATTAAGTTATCCCCACAGGCGTCTGGGAACTTGACGGAGTCTCCCAAGGCGCAGCAGCGGTATGGCTTCCTGAGGAACCTCTGGAAAGCACAAGATGGGAATGGGAGCGCCGGTGACGAGGCCCAGTCGTTGCTGCGCCAAAACCTTGTGTAGCCAATTGTCTCCCTCCCTCAGTGCCAATCATGATGCATGCATTTGTATTTGTGTTGTTGTATGCATGTAGATTGTGCAGGAAAATAAAAGGATGTAATTTTGTCAATCCCCCCTGTCTTGCTGTTAATAGAGTGGGAATTTAGGATTCTGTTGTAAAAATACAGTGTAGATACGTCAGTCATCTGTGTACGTAGCATCTCTTGTCCAGTGACCACTTATGTGTATAATAACAATGTAATCTGTATCACAACTTCACGGAGTAGCGATCTGGCTACCGTGAAGAATTGAGATTCTTGCAAAAGAAAAAAAATGCCCGATGAATGTATATGCTGCTTCTGTTTCAGTTCTGTAGTCGATTCCTGTCCATATTATCCTTCGCAGGTTATGGACTCTTAACTGAACAGTCAGAGGTATGCTGGAGCCTGTGAAATAAGGCTGACCTTTGTTTTATGGTGAGGAGGCAGATAACTGGGGGCAGGTGATGGCCGAGCATGTTTTATAATTTTCTGATGGTTTGAAAAGAAAAGCACAGCCTTGGGCATCTCTTAGACTGATTGTTTTGTTCTCACACAGTCACACTTGTCCCTAACCTTGAGCTCTGTTAATGGCGGATGAGAGAGAGAGAGAGAATTCTGCGAGCGTGCAACTCTGCTGTTTTTCCTTCTCTATTTTTCTGTTGGAAAACAAACTTGGCGTGGTGCTGCCACATATACCGGATCGTGCCATCTCCCACGATCATGAGCACACAACGCACAGGCCTACATCTATGCCTCGGGATCGCACAAGACCCCGTCCTCAGGACTAAGCTAACAAAAAGAGCTGAAAACAGCAAACTACCAAAGCACTGCCATGGCAGCCGAAAACCCAACGAAAACGAGACTGGTACGTTACAGCCAACTCATCCAAAAGTCCGAATTATGAGAGAGGCCGGACATTATACTCCAACACCCCCCTCACGTCTATGCTTATTTAGCTCTTAAACGTGTGATTTATGTAGGCCGCATAATCTTTTTTTTAATACTGCGTTGGCAGGGTCTTGAACTCAAGACCTCCTGGCTCGGATACCATATTGAAGTGCATGCTCTAGCCAATGCAACAAAAAGATCGATCTATGGAAAAGAGCCATACATTATACTCCAACAGTTACGCTAGATTACTTGCTAACAAATTCCCCTTAAGCTAGTTGTGACAACTTATTTGACATCGATCATACCAATGCAGGCCCGTAACTCCTGGAACCGAGTGCTTCTGAGAGATTTGGTGAGGATATCGATGAGCTGGTCACCTGTGGCGATGTTGGCTATGTTGATCTTCCCACCTTCGGTACACTCACGGATGATGTGATACCGCACTTCAATGTGTTTGTTCCGGTCGTGAAGCATCGGGTTCTTGCACAGCTGAATTGTGGATTTGTTGTCGATGAAGATCGTGGCAGCGCCAACGTCCTTCTTGAGCACGTCGCTGTGAAACCTGCTGATGCAAACGTCGACAGAAAATCGACCGCACGAATAAATTTTTCCAAATCTTTCACAGTACAAACTCAGCAACTCCCAATCCAATATCCAGTCTACACCAAATAACAGACGAAAGAAACACAGGCTTACGATCAGGTAGATGCAAACCGGCGAGAGCTACACGGACGTCTTCAGGTAGAAGAAGCACATGGCGATTCTACTAGAATCGGCAGTAAATTAGAGGGTGCGTCGTCTAATCTCCTTGCCAAGAAACACAAGCCCTAGATGGGATTCTTGATTGAAGCGTGCCGCCAGAACCTGGCGGATTATCCTTTGTTTGTAATTAACACCAAAAAAACTAACCTCCCTTTGATACACGGCCGGTTGGCCCTATTAATAGTGCACGCAGGCACTAGGTACAAATGACCTGGACTCCTTCTGAATACTAGTTGGACTCGACCTGACCACAACCACGTACTACTACTGATCCAACCCTCTCTCTCCTATCTTATTTCATCACTAATTAACTAATTTAAAAATACGGCACACTGATCACAAAAGACAAAACAAACTAGTACTACTCCTTTGTGTGCTCACGTAGATGATTTTGCATGCATGGCGTTCTGAAACGTGGCTCCACGTGTCGTTCGTCTGGTGCAATAAGCTAAATAGGAACATGTCCAATGAAAATATGTGTTGTTGTCTTCCCGCAGTGTAGAAAGTTGTCTCTCAGTTCAACTCCTTGATTGCTGCAATGTACAACAGTAGCTTGTTTCTTTTTCCCATTGCGTCTGGCAGGAACTATAAACTTCCCAGTATTTCTCTGGTTCACCTTACTAACAATACTTTTAGTGACGACATTTGGGGTCACATCATCCTTTCTCCCTTGAAAAGAAACTGTCTTTGGATTCAACCTATACCTTGCAGATTTTTGCTTGAAGGCCTCAACAGTACATGCTATATTCTTTGCATCCTTTGTAAGAATGGCATAGAACTCTCCCTTATGCATAAAAGTGTATTTGTTTGTTCATCCATGATGAAGAGCATTAACATCGTGCTGCCACGGACGCCCTAAAATAAGATGACAGACATGTAGTGGCATAACGTCGCATTCCACTTTGTTAACATAGCCATTAATAGAAAAAGGCACCTTCACCATGTGTGTTACTTTCACTTTGCCTACATCATTTATCCACTTCATATAGTGTGGTTTTGGATGCTCCCATGTTGGCAACGAAAGAGACTCCACCACATCCTTGCTAATCATGTTGCTAGCACTGCCACCATCAATTATCAGTTTGCGCACTTCTCCTTTGATGGTACATGCAGTTTGAAAAATACTCCATCGCTGTCCTGGTTAAAAAATGACCTTGTCATCTCGCTGGACCTTGTGTGCTAGCAAACTCTCCATATCAGGATCATCTTGAGGATAACACAGTATGGTATCACCATGTCCTCTTTCGATTCCATCCTCTAACTTAGGCGATTCATTTTCAGATTCTGAAATATATTCCGCATCAAGAAGTAGAACCCTTCGTTGATTGGAATATTCATGCTTCATGTGTCCACGTCCTTCACACTTGTGGCAAATAATATTACGATGATGCGATGACGTCGCACTAGACGAAATCTGAGAAACCTCCTTTGGCGCAGCCGTCACTTTGCTCTGTTCAATGCTTCCGACTTATAAGGAGTCGGTTTAGCACTAAACCCACTATCAATAGGAGAAGAACCACGTCGCCCACTATTTTAAGTTGGACGAGTCTCTGAAGCTTGCTTCTCCAATACCCAACGTTCAGCACGCTCCGCTTGATGAAGCAACTCATGAATATCATTATATTGCATTAAATCAACACGGTCGCGAATCTTTTCTTCTAATCCCTCAAAGAAACGTACCATGGTCGCCTCCGCAGACTCACGCACAGTTGTACGGATCATCAAAACTTGCATCTCTTTGTAGTAATCATCAACTGATTTTGTACCTTGCACTAGACGACGCAGTCTACTATGAAGCTGACGAGTGTAATAAGCAGGCACAAAACGTTCCCTCATGATTCGCTTCATGTCAGCCCATGTTGCTGGTCGCTCATGAGTATGGTTTTTATTATCCCACCATACAAGAGCATACTCTATAAATTCCATTGATGCAACACGAACCTTCTTCTCTTCGGAGTAGTTGTGACCATAAAAAATCTGATTTACGCGCATCTTTCACTCCAAATATTTCTTCGGGTCAGCACAACGTCCAGAGAATTCAGGTATGGTTATCTTGATTCGACCCAAACCATCATCCTCGTGGGCACCATTGCCACCATGGTCACGGCGCCGCCCAGCATGGCGGTGAGCCCCAGCATCATGCCGTGGTCGGTGAGGTAAGCCTCCACGGGCATCGGAATCCTCAGAAAAATCACCATCATCATCGTTGTCACGGTCACGACGTCGTCGTGGCGAGCGGGACTGTCGGGGTGCCACATCTCTCGCCTGAAGGCGCTGAACTGCTGCAGTGAGCCGATTAAGACTCTCGGTCACCACCTGTAGACTATCAGTGCGTTGTCGGTCGCTGGCAGTCAAACGCTCGTTCAACCTGTCCTCGACGCCTACAATATTTGCGGACAATTCCTCAAGCCTTGTCCCAAGCTTCTTGTTGGCTCCCTTGATCGACATCAGATGGATACGCAAATCATCACTTATCTCCAGATCCTCCGGAAGTTCATCGCCCTCCTCATGATCAGATTTCTCATGCTGCGAGTTCACCATCTTTCAAACAATTGAATCAAATAGCAGAAAAAAAATTGTACCGTGATCAACCTTGCTCTGAATACCACTTGATGCGAACGTCGACAAAAAATCGACCGCATGAATAATTTTTCCCAAATCTTTCACAGTACAAACTCAACAACTTCCAATCCAATATCCAGTCTACACCAAATAACAGACGAAAGAAATACAGGCTTACGATCAGGTAGATGCAAACCGGTGAGAGCTACACGTACGTCTTCAGGTAGAAGAAGCACATAGGCGATTCTACTAGAATCGGCAGTAAATTAGAGGGCGCACCGTCTAATCTCCTTGCCAAGAAACACAAGCCCTAGATGGGATTCTTGATTGAAGCGTGCCGCCGGAACCTAGCGGATTATCCTTTGTTTGTAATTAACACCAAAAAAACTAACCTCCCCTCGATACACGGCCGGCTGGCCCTATATTTTTTTTTTGAATTAAAGGCCGGCTGGCCCTATTAATAGTGCACGCAGGCACTAGGTACAAACGACTTGGACTCCTTCCGAATACTAGTTGGACTCGACCTGACCACAACCACGTACTACTACTGATCCAACCCTCTCTCTCCTATCTTATTTCATCACTAATTAACTAATTTAAAAATACGGCACACTGATCACAAAAGACAAAATAAACTAGTACTACTCCTTTGTGTGCTCACGTGGATGATTTTGCATGCATGGCGTTCTGAAACGTGGCTCCACGTCGTCCGGTGCAACAAGCTGAACAGGAACATGTCCAATGAAAATATGTGTTGTTGTCTTCCCG